GCAGCTTTAGGATTCTTTCTCTTTTCTTCTTCTGCTTCAGCGTTTTCATCATCACTTCGAAAATACATTTTCTTACCAAACCGTAGTCCCATGTAATCTTTGTTATAGATTTGAAGACAGTTAACTTTCTTAGATTACGTGGGTTGGTTATGCCCAGTCCTATTCTAGGATTGTAAAATCGGTCATCCTTTATTCGATTAAGAAAAATTGTCTGTTCAGACTGACCTCTTTTAGCAGCTAGATCCTCTAGTTCTTTTATTTTGTTTAAAAGTGTTCTTCTCTTATTGTGCAAAAAATCGCATTCAGCCTTTGTTGTGCTTTTTTCTCGTTCACTATCCTCAAATTTCCTAGTTAATTCAGCAATCTGAAGTTCAAAACTTTCAAAATCTGAGGACACCTTTTTGACCTGATCTTTCGCAATTTCAAGTTGAACACTTAGAGAAGACTTTTGGTCTAGATTCTGTTTCAGTACCATGTGATTATTGTCTAGTCTCTCCTTTAGTTCTTTAATTAGATTGTCCTTCTCAAGTAAGGACTGAATTTGATTATTTAAAGGAGTATGAGAGGTACTTACAGAGCTTGTTGAGCATTCACTTTCGGGGATCGCAGCATCACCCTTTCTTTCATCTTTTTCCTCCACTCGTGCCATCAGGGCATAGTTTTCTTCTTCCTCCTCCTCTTCAGAAGTGTCTTCTGCCCAGTTATCATTCTCAGCAATCATTGCAGAAGTTTCTTCTTCTTTCTGCACCATCAACATTTTCTTCTTATTCCACAACATTTTCTGCTTGTAGAAGTTTGCATCCTTCTTCTTTGGGAGGCGGCAGTCTTTGATGACATGTCCAGCCTTTCCACAATTGTAGCATTTGGGAGCATCTTCAGCTGATGGCGCTTTTCTAGAAGATCCTTGTTCGTGGTTCTTCTGTTTGTAGTTAGAGGAGGAGGTTCTTAGCTTGTTGGAGGAGCTGTTCTTCTTTGCAAATCTCTTGGCAAGCAGTGCCATCTTCTTCTGTAAATCTGCAAGCTCAGCCTCCAGATCAGATTTGTCATCATCACTTTCATCATCGTCTGATTCAACCACCACCTTCTTCTTCTTCTTCTTCAGTGGTGTGGTTGTCCTTCTGGGCTGAGCTTCCATCACAAGAGCCAGGGGATTTGAGGTGTGATGATCCTCGGCACAAGCAACCTCATTGACAAATTGCTTCAAATGTTCATAGAGAGTGCAGAGGTCAATTTCATCCAAGTCAATGCGAGATCTAACATCCTTCACTGTCTTTTCCCATGCAGGATGCAGGCTGGATAGAAATCTTATATTCAGTTCCAAGTTGGACCGGAATACTTTGATTTTTCTAAGTTCATTGACCAGTTGGACGAGTCTGTTGTAAGTCTCGTTCAATGGTTCTCCTGGTCCTGCTTTGAAGGAGTCATAAGCAATAAGAATTGTCGTCTTCTTGGTTTTAAGGCTAATGCTTGTGCCTTGGAGCAATTTGTCTATCTCATCCCACATTTCCTTTGCTGTTTGCATGCTATCGATGAGAACATATACTTCGTTAGGGATTGCTTGAAGGAGGTACGTTTTGGCCATGAGATCACCACGAAGCCTGAGCCTGTCAGCTTCCGTATATTCAGATGCCACTTTCCGTCTTATTTCTGGAAGAATAGGAGGGTTGTTTTCTGGATCACCACCAACTGAAATCATTAGTTCAGCTGGTCCTTCAAGCAACGATTCAAGCATCGCAGCGGAGTTCTCTTTGTGCTCAAGGAAATTAAGGAATCGATTCCTCTACATTTGGTATTCTCCTTTCCTGAGACTGGGAGGAGTACTGCTGTTCCCTTGCGCATTGAATTCTGAGGCCATTGCTGTATAAAACTGACCGTTCGAGATAATTGATCAAAAGAGTTTCAGAGGCAGAATGTCGAAAATCAGATGTCGAGATCTGAATATCGAGATCTGGGATTTCGATAAAGGAGGCCCGGTTTCGAGATTTGATGTCGAGATTAGGATGTCGAGATTAAAGATCTCGAGATTTCAAATATCGAGAAGAAGATCTCGAGATTTGAGATGTCGAGAAGTTAAGCTCGAAATCTTATTTCGAGAAGTCAAATGTCGAGACCAGATGTCGAAACCTTAAACTCGAAATCTTTGATCTCGAGATATAGATGTTGAAATCCTCAATGTCGAAATCCTGCAATCTGTAAAAATCAGATAAGCAAAATCTGAAGGTAGTTTCTTGTAGACTATGATGTCGAGATTCTCAGGTGAAGTTTTCAGCTCGAAATACTTAGCAGAACCTGTTTAAAACCTAGATGTCGATATTGCTACTCGAAATATCTCAAGTACAGGAATTGCGAAAAACGAAATCTGAAGTATACCCCTTGATCGCTTCGAAACGACGATTCTAAGGGTGTAACTTTTACAACTTTTTAACAAGAAACAAGATTACAGAGTAAAAAATAGACAGAAAGAACAACGTAAAGAAAAAACAGAGTCTTCTGCAGGCGTTCTTCTGATCGGCTCTCGATCGGCTCTCGATCGGCTCTGATACCAATTGATAGTCCCTGTTTCTGTAACAACAATGAATAGCAGTCTAACAAAGAAGATTAAACGTAAAGATGAACACAAATGAATCGATGTAAAACCCTCTTTGATAGACCGTGAACTTGTACACAAAAAGATATGCGCTTAAGGCTATAATGAACAAGTACGAAAGTTAACCTAATCCTGAACCCTCGGCTCCCTTTTTATAGGCGAGGTTCAGGTTAGGCGTGAAAGGCTTTTAGCCTGTTTGTATGGGCCTAACACTTGGCCCATATTCTATCTAATCAATGCACCTATTTAATACAAGGAATAATAATAAAGCTAGTCTATTACAAAATAGATGACAAACATGATTCACAATTAAATGATCTTCAACAAAAATTACTTTAATACTAAAGTGCCGAACAACTCCATGATTCAAAATTATGCAGCAACTCTTACGATGAGATTTACGGATCGTTCTAAACTTGTATTCTCAAATTAGAATTAATTTGAGAAATCAGAATTTAATGCCTTCCAGAATGAAAGTTGGGCAAAAACACACATTCTAAAAATTATGTATTTCGATCTAGAAACGTAGTCTGTATATCTATCAAATTCGTGTAATGCCATTAGAATCAGTTTGGCTCTGATATCACTGTTAGGAAATTGATGTAACGTACCTCGAAAGTACGGCAGCGGAAGTTTAAATTTTTTCCCAAACAGATCTTCCCTGATTATGATAAAACAACGAATATAAAAATAATAACAGATCTGAGATAGAACTTACAGATCTTCCAGCCTAGCGGTGATAATCCTTGACCTTAGGTATCCACGTGATTTCTCCTTTCCGAAAGAACGGTTAGATCTTCCTTAGAGAAAGACTAGGAAATCTCTTCGTAAGGAAATAAACTGGTAATACTGAATCTAGAAAACTCGTCTCGAATTATGAAGGAGAATAGTGTATTTATACTAGTTCTAAATTAGTTTCCCAATCACAATGAAAATCATTCTAATAAATGAGTTCTAGTCCAACTATAACCAATACCATTTATTAATTAAATAAAGATACAATAAATAATAATAATAATAATAATAATAACTAAATGGTACGTATATATGTTAAAGAGAATAGGGGGCTGCCACCACCCTTACTCTTTTAACATATACTATTTATTGTTATTATATTATTATTTATAATTTCTTGAATATATTTTAATTCCAAATTAAACTCAAGAAATTACCAACTTTATGTAATTATAAATACATTTTAATTAAGTATAATAAATCTAATTTATTCTACTTAATTAATTCTATCAAATAGAACTCTCCTTCAATATCATGAATTAAATATGTTTAATCTAATTAATATTTAATCCATTTTCAGCATTACGAATTAAATATTATTTAATCCAATTAATATTTAATTTCTTCTAACAATTCAATCAGAAGGTATAATCACTTGTTGTGTGACCCATAGGGTCTTATATATTAAGCACTAATCAAATTAAGGTCTTAGCAGAATCCCTAGACGGTTTACCAGACAAACTTAATATATAAGGACGTTTGCGAGGACTATTCAAACTCCCTATAATATAGAGCTCATAGTGATACGGTCCTTTCATTCAACGAACATTCAACTAAGTCTAGAACATGATATTGTGTCTATTCCAATAACTCAGTCTCTGCCTCTCAATCTTTCTAGATGATCCATAACGATCATATTCGATATCCAAAACGAATATATCTTTGCATTGGCCAATGACTTTATGATCCATCTAGATATGAGAAGTAGAATGTTCTCTCTTAATCTATTATGAGGAATGAATCCTTTCTTGGATCAACTACTACTCCATGTGCTTCGTGATGCACCCAACACATGTCGTATCTACCATGATTGGAGTGCAAACGTTGGTCATGGTCAAAGTACATCACTCCGCACATGTAGTACGTGTTGACCTCAAGTCGGAGGACTATTACACCACTCTATACGCCGATAATCCCATAGACACATGAATAGAACTTATCAAATGGTTTCTCGGTGGGTATGCCAATATTCTCTAAAATATCTATGTGACCATCACGAATTACAAGAACTCATAGTTGTGAGATCAACTATACTTTCTAAAAGTATGATGCAGTCCACATACTAATCTTATCGCATATCATCAATATCCCATTCTTGATGATCATTGATTGGGGCTATTTTAGGACCTTATGTTATATCATATAAGCTCCTACTTACTTATTGACAACATAAATCCAAGGGAACACAAATATGAATAAAACATTGACAATTGAAAACAATCATTCATAAAGTGTAATACCATGTATATATCAAATATAAAAACTAAATGCGATCAAGTACATATGTCTCTAAAAAATGATTGTCGCTAGGACATATATACTAATATACATATCATTCCACTAGCATCTGGTGAGCTTTGATATATGCATATCTTACTCAATAGAGTCAAAGGGTGCATGAGCTTTGCAACCATTCACACCGGGATTCATTAACCATGACTGTGAATACATAGAAGCGATCAAAGCAGTCAATCTTTGGGCATTTTTCAGGTATTTGAGGTATTTATTTTCTGCTATGCTACTTTCATATGCAGTCCACAGACCTCACAATGTCTGGGAATCATGCTCGGAGGTGATGATCGAAGATTACATGTACCACCTTTCGACATGTTCAAACCATGCAAGTAAAGTATTTTAAATTATTTTTAAATCTAACTATATAATAAAACACTCATATAATGTCTTAGTAACTACTCTATGTCAACGCAGACAGAGAGCATAATATAGAGAACTCCAAGAATAAACGTCGCTCAGATGTTGAAAAAATATTACCAAGGAACGGAAAAAGTCTTGCAAATTTTGAAGGTATGCCGAAACCGGATACAACATATGTGAGTTATGATGAAAATGCACTTATGAATGAAGAGATGGAATACGATAGAGAAGACTTAGCACGACAGCTATCGCATCTCATTGACCAATTAAGAGATGATCAAAAACGTGTTTATATGAACATCATTAATGTTTTGCGTGGAAACACCTGAGGTAAATGTAATTTTTAATTTTCAAACCGTGTGTTAATATGGACATGGTTAAATTGAAAATAAATATATAAATTTTAATATGTTTACTATTTGTCACATCGTAATTCATATTTCCTCTTTTATATAAGGGTTTTCTTTGTCTAGGGATACTGTGAAACTTGAAAAATGTTTCTGTAGACAGTGACAATATATATTACAAGTGAAGGAAATACTATTCTTGAAGTTGCGTCAAATGGAATAACGTCGTTACTGTTCTATGAAGGTAGGACATCATATTCCAGATTTTCTATCCCACTGAACACCGTTGGAAACTCCAACAGTAATATTAATCAAGGAAGACCCAAGGTAAAGCTCCTCCGATCCACATCCTTAATTATATGGGATGAAGCGTCAATGGTGTACAAACATTGTATTGAGGCTTTAGATATGACTTTGAAAGACATTATGAGCACGACTTATCCAAATAATGAAAATCGACCATTCAGAGGGAAGGTTGTTATTCTTGGAAGAGATTTCCGTCAAATTTTTTCAGTCATTCCAAAGAGGAGAAGATCCGACGTGGTGATGGCAACCATCAACTCTTCTTATTTTTGGAGTGAATGTGTACTTCACCGTCTCATGAAGAATATGAGATTACTTCCAACTGCTCCTGATGAAAAGAGTGACATTGAAAACTTTGGTTCATGGATTTTACAGGTTGGGGATAGTGATATCGGACAATAAGTATATGGAGTTTCAGAAGTGGAATTCCAAGATGAATTTCTTATCAGGGCGGAAGATAATTACCTAGCAGCTATCGTTAATATCACTTATCCTTACCTGCAAGAACACCTCAGTGACCCAACTTACACATATGAAAGAGCGATACTTGCACCTACTTTAGCCGTGACTTGCCAAATAAATGACTACATGCTATCTTTGATTTATGGTGACCAGGACACGTACCTCAACTCATATAACATTATTAGTTCAGATGTTGGTTTGTGTCGTGAGAATGACATGTATACACATGAATTTCTTAATATTCTCTCAATCTCGGGACTGCATGATCACAAATTGCATCTAATAAAGGCAGTTGCTCCCATTATACTTTGGAGAAATATAGACCAAGCGACGGGATTATGTAATGGATCCAGGTTGATTCTCACTAAACACGGAAAACATGTGCTAGAGGCAAAGATCATCACTGGAGAAATACAGGGACACTGTTCACATGCCCAAGATAATTATCTCCATCAGACATGACACTCCCTTTTAGTTTTCAGAGGAAGCGATTCCCAGTTTTGGTGTGCTTTGTGATGAGCATCAATAAGAGCCAAGGCCAATCTCTATCCCAGGTCGGACTATATCTCAAGGAAAATGACTTCACTCACGACCAATTATATGTTTTCATATCAAGGGTCACGAGCAAAGAAGGATTAAACATTTTAATTCGCTCTAAAGATAACGGGATTTCCACCAAGATCATTATGTTGTCCATAAAAAGATTTTCCAGAATTTAGAAACACAACCTTTCAATTTTTTATGTCTTTTAGTCAATCTAATGTGTTACGGATCCTAATTAACTTCTTTATTATTATATAGTATTATATGAAATTAATAAATATTTCTCATAGAAGAACTCAAAGATAGAAAACTATTCGGAGAACCCAAAGCACGCAAGTTCTCTCCAATGATGTCTTGGTTTTAAATAAATATAAATATAATTACGTATTAATTTTCTTCATTGATCATGCAGTTATTTACACTGTTGAATATAAAAAATAGGCCTCCCATGTGCCCACATTGTCCTTTTTCTGCTTATGAGTACGAGTTGAGAGACATTGATGACATTGATAAGGTAGTCTCAACTGAACTCCTTGATCCTCTCCAAGATGCATAGTTGCATAAAGCAGTAAAAAGTTTAATGATACACGGTTCTTGCGGACATTTCAACGAAAACTCACCTTGCGTTATAGATTGTGTGTGTTTAATAAGATGTTTCAGGCCCACAACCTCCACTAGTGAAGATGGATATCCAGAGTATCCGAGAAGGAACACTACAGAGGCAGTGATTCCATTGATGACCTTCCACATGCAAAAGGAGATTTTAGTAGGAATATTATTCTTCCAAATATGACTAGTAAGGATGACAGTGTGTTTTTTGAATCTAATTTCCTCATAGGTACTCTTAAAAGAGTAGGATCCATCGGGAGTAAGGGTCCAAACCATGATGTTCGTATGACTTGAAAAATGATGCACAATGCTCAAAATATTACAAATAATGTAATTTGCACAAAATGTTTTTGAAATGACTGATTTTTGTCCTACCTTGAAAGGTATTGGCACCCAGGTATGTAAAAGGACCGAGAAGGAACCTTGTTTTATGCCAAAAATCATCTCCACATTTTTCAGAAGTAGCAATGGGTGTGTTTTTTCCACAAATATAAAAACTTTTGTTGGTGCTAATATTTTGACCCGAGAAACTTTCATACTTATTAACAACCTCACAAAGAGCATTGAGAGATTTCTTACCAACATTGGAGAAGATAATCAGGTCATTCGCATATATAACTCAAATGGGAAATGATACACAAACCCAGATGGGTATGAAAGGGAGTACTTTAGCTTCAACAACCAATTTATTACAGTGCCTAGAGAGGATTTCAGAGACCAAAATAAAGAGAATATGAGACAGTGGTTCTCCCTGTTTAACCCCACGGTTAGGTTTAAAAAATCCATTAGGATGACCTTTAATAAGCACAGAAAACCAAGTATTCTCAAAATTGTTCTTAATAAGATTTATAAATCTAAAGTGAAAACCAAAAGCATCCAGAATATGATACACAGAATTCCAAGAAAAGCCTTAAGCATGTCCAACTTGAACAAAACATTGTGACCTTTGGTTTTGTGATTAATAATGCAATTAATCACCTCTTTCAACATAAGAATACTGTCACTTATCTCTTTACCCTTTTAAAGAGCAGTTTGGTTGGTAGAGATGAGATTAGGAACAATATTGGTGAGTCTAGAAGTTAAAATTTTAGTTAACATTTTGCAAATGATATTTCCGAGATTGATTGGTCTATATTTCGAAAATTGAGTAGCATTAGATTCCTTGGGAACAAGACAAATCAAGGTGTGACCAATGCTTTAGGGATAGGGACCCCACAAATATACTCCTGAATAACGTTTAGAAGATCGAGGATATTAGCCAAACCAAACCACTAGGAACATGCGCTGACCTTGTCAGTTTCGAGTATAAGTCACAACATCTGGTTCCCAATAGGCAAGAGTTTCAACAACTCAAGGGGAACCTACACAGACTTCTCTGCCCCCTTTCGAAGCAATTGAGGATATCATTACTGGTCAAAAGTCCCGGACCACTACCCCTCTTTCTTTCACATGGAGTCTAGGTGTCACGCTCTCTATATTTTCCGATTTTTCTAGGACACCTACATTTCTCACACCACTCACTACAGGTCCACTATACCCGAATGCAACGATCGAAGAAACTCCGATGATGATCGGAAGTCCTGCTATGCAACAAATGGTTACACTATTCAATGCATGCCACACATCGGTAATCTTTAATGATGTCGTGACAACGGTGAGCACTCTTGCTACCGACAGTGACGATCCCACCACTCGCATAGTCACTGTGGACTTTTTGGAAAGTTATCTTGATTCCACTTTCCTACCAAAGGTACACTCTGCAATAGCCGCAACTGTACAAGGATCCAGAAAAACTCAAACGTTGAAAAAAGATCCAATCCCATCCCAACCACAACCAACACCTACCACATCCTTACCACTTTTTGATCACTTTATCCACCGTCTACCTACCCCAATCACTTCTACACGGGAAACCCATGATACCAACTAGTATCCTCCCCCGACCACCGCATTGACCCAAACATCGAATCTCTCTCATCCTTAACCGACATCATTTAAATACGGCTCATAGCTGAACCTAGCCTTGCACCCAACCAACACAAACTTCTCCACCTCCTTAAGACCGAGATCACCTGCAGCGACAGTCTCAACGGCGTTAAACGTCCGTATGAGGACCCCGATGATTCGGCTCCTCATGAGGGGGAGAATAAGAGGCAGCGGACACTTGAGCATGGTGCCTCATCAAGCCGACCCATACCTCAACCAAACCAACCCTCGCTCTCTAAAACCCAACTCCAATCCTCATAAAAGCTCAAAACCAAAACCATCCCCATAACCTCTAACTTGGTCACACCGGATAGAATGCTCTTAGGCTCATCTTTCATAGATGTAGACTAAGGATTGATCGAAAGTCCTAAGGTTGCTACTTCATGTACACCCATTCTTTCAGGCCATCCATTAGAACCAGTTTCTGACGTGATGATAACGGACAATCATTGTGATCCCGGAGTTACCATTGACAGGTCATCGCAGTAGCCCATCTCACACACTCCAACTTCTTTAGTCCATGATCAACTCAAAGCCTACATCCTTGATACAAAGTGGAACGAATGGAATGAATGGGATGATCTGAAGCAAGAGAGTGAGCAAGTTGATTTACAAACAATATTCTATTTCAGAGAACTGCTGAATAAGGCTGCTGCTGATATAACAGGGCTTGAAAATGAAGAACTCAAAGAAGGGGAAGAATATACCAAAGGTCCATTAGAGCTGCCCAAGGTTACCAGAAGAATATGAACTCTTCCACCCAATAACGATATACCATGGAAGAACATTAGAATCGTATCCCCCTTCCAAGAGCAAATACGAAAGCATATCTAGAGGAGACCTGACAAAACCAAAAGCTCGGTAAACTCAATATGAGAGGTCTTACGCATCTCAAAGGACGAGAAAGAGGCGGACATCTCTATATGTTATGTAAGTGGTCAACAGGACAACTTGAAGTCCTCAAGCATAAGCTACAAATAAGCATAACTCCCATCTAGGATATTCTGAAAGTTTCTAAAGGAGAAATCGAAGGTA